TCGCACTAACTAAGGTGGATGGTGAAGTATTGGGGAGGGGGCTGCTGTCGGCAGCTAGATTGAGCCACTCGTTTTGTGCTCGTCAGCGCCTTCTCCTTTCTTCGGTATACAAGAAAAGTTGCCTGCAACTCAATGGCTCTGTCGTATCAGTCCCCCTCCCCAACTGCGCCAGAAACTGTATTTATTAGAGGGAATAGGTGAAAGTCTTTAGTCGTAATAAGGTCATTGTGCATTTTTGGTGCCTTATCATTTCTTTTCATAATTTTTTTCTATGTAACTCATTTAGGACAACCTGGACAACCTGGAGGCGGATTCCCTCAACAGGGCGGCGGCGGTTTCCATCCACAGCCAAATCAAGGCGGATTCCACCCGAATCAAGGTGGATTCCATCCGCAACCGAACCAAGGCGGTTTCCATCCCCAAGGTGGATTCCATCCTAATGCTGGAGGGTGAGTTCTTAAAAGTACTGTTTTTCAGTGTTTACTAACTAGAAAAAGTTTTCAGTTTCCGCCCTGGCAGTGGTGTCGGTTCATCGGCTAGCAGTGGAATGTTCAAAAAGGCTCTCATTGGTGGAGCCATCGGAGCGGTTGGAGGTGAGTCAAGGGTTTTTCCGCCTCATTGAGTGCTGCTATAATGAACCTTTTCACATGGGGAGGTTTTTCAGGTTTGGTAGCTTACGAAGCTGGCAAGGCTATAATCAAATCGGCTACGGCACCGTTCAATCACGATGGGCACAACTACTATTGGGACAATCACTACCAACAAAAACCCAATGAGATAATGTGCTCAATGCCTCTCAGCCAACTGCAACAGGTGATTCCTCCAGACTTCACATGTGCTACTCTGAGGGGTGTGGGTCAGTAGGTTCAGGTTGCGACGGCGACGCGGCGTTCTGAATAGCGTCAGATGCGGGGCAGTTGCACTGACGGCAAAGTGCTGCAGACCGAGTCAGCTAGCTAGGAAACATTGCGCGCGTCGAGCTACACTCCCCATATCTCGGAAGAGGGGAGATGACGTGGCTAACTGTTTCATATGAGCACGGCTTGGGATCCCTTTTCCGTAGGATAATTCCATTTGGGACAACTGTCATCCAGTTTCCCTTGAACAAAGACATGAACACAACTGTTCGAAATAATCCGGCCGACAGCCCCGTCGACGCCACGTTCAAATGAAGTGCACAGTCACGCCCTTCCAATCTCGTAGGTATCATGTATGTATGTATGTATGTACCTCCTACGTAAGACCGATTTTGGATGGAAGGTTTCGGCTGCTTTTGACGAAGTATAATTTCTGCCTTTGGCCAAGTAAAATTCCATTGATACCCTCAGTCGATTCTACAGCGGATATTTTGAAATGAAGGACACAACTCAATGTAATCAGGTGGGCTGAGAGACTGACCAAAGGTCCGCGCCCTCCTCAGTGACGACGCCCGCTCTCCACCCGTCTTACAAGGTCTTGCACTTCATTCAGCCATTGCAGAAATCGTGTCTCTCGAGGAAAGTAAAGCGAATTTCGAAAACCCTAAAGCCGTTTCGGTGATCGTTCTGCTCACTAACTGATATTTTTAGGGATTCCCTTCAGATTTTGTGAAGCTTATCAACCATTAAGTTTCTTCATATATTTTTACTTTCCCTTTTTTTGAATGATATTTTCACTGCTATACAGGTTGTCCCATCCACTACAACGACAAGCGACAGCTGTGCCCCGTAACGAAACGCTTGAGCAGCACTACCACCACCCGTCGCCACCCCAATGATCGCCGATCAGGTCTAATAACGTGAGTCTTTCATCACCATTCTAATTAAAGGACTTTTTTAATTGATATGAAAAGACGCTTACGTAACTCGGCTTACTGTGTGGCAAAAAGCTGCTTTTTTCATTTGTTCAATATATGTAGCCTTCTGCACCATTGCGTACGATTTCAGCTACAATTTGCGGACGGAACTCGTCCGAAAACGATCAGCTGGGGCTGCAAGAAAGGTGTCGAGGTGTGTTGCGGTACTGATTGCTGTCCTGCCCCAGTCAGCAACAACAACAACAACAACGCAGCTGGTGGTGGAGGCGTTGGTGGCAGCGGAGCTGCGGGTGTTGCTCTAGGGTAAGTCACAAGCCCAAAACCCTTGTGTTCTTCATTGAAATCAGTTATCTCACCTTTGTTTTGTGTTTCGTTGAGGTCGTGCAGCTAAGGGTGAGTGGGACACCGAATTTTATGTGGTACTGCTTTCTGGCTTCTTGGTGCCGTAAACATTTGGGAAGTCCTTCATGTCCTTTGGGGAAAAGTGTAGGATTAGGGAAGGAAAAAAGATGGGAATAGGATAGGGTGGGAGTGAGTTGTTTGTTTGAAGTCACAGTCCACGCTGGTCTTTGGGAGAGAGACGGATAACCATTGTGCCTTCCTCATCAGTGCATCTCTTCTGCCGATTGTAAGATGATCAGGAGAAGGGGTGCGCCATTGATGGAAGTGCGACTATTGGCCGTCTCCGCCCATACAATCATCGTGGACCGTGCCTCGAAGTGTTTCACATAGGCTATTGAAGGGAGAAAATAATTCCATGTTATGAAGGTTAGAGCGCCTTTGGATCGATATTCGTGGAAAGCTCAGTACGCAGTCGAAGAACTTGTTTCCAGTTTTGAGAACCCCCACCGTCGAGCCACTGGGAACTACTTTTTTTTGCTTCCGCACCCCAATTTTTCGATGCTTTGATCAAAATCCTAATTTGGCCCTTGGGAGTTTGACCGCCTTTTCGACTGATATTTCCCGAAAGAGCGTCGGAGCATGTGGCGCTGGCGCCGGGCGATATCGTGCCGAATTCGTGCAACATGTTCGGTTCATCCACCCTCCCTCCTCCGTTTCCAGGGCAGTTTCACAACCAAGTCAAGTCAACCCAAGGGATAAGTTTCAGTGGAAGTCTGGCCTTCATTTACCAAGTGGACCTGTAAATGGTCAATGCTGTCGCTATCATACAAAGCAGTTGGGGCGTGCCAGCGAGGTGCCGGCAGCTTTATCACCGTTAATTGAAGGCAAGCGGTCAAGACAATCGTAACCTGCCGCTCCTTCGCGCTCTGAGATTCTGGGTCTGTTAATTGGAGCACTAGCTTTCAAAGAGACTACGACATCAGGGGCATTTAATGCTTTTTGGGATGTACATGGCCTATTATCCTCATCTGCGACCTAAAAATATCGCCATTCGTGAGTGCTACGTCGCACGCGACGCTCACCAGCGCCGCGGTTACAATTGTGTTGTTACGGAGAGCTCCATGAACGCGCGAATCCGCAGCGATCAATGGAAAAGCTGTGGCACCGCCCCAAAACAAGTGCCCTTCTGACACGCCCCGACTGACTCCAGTGATGAGGACTGTACTTCAAATACACTTAATACACATCCCGTTTCGGGTAATTGAGAGTTACCGTGATTTAATTTGTAGCAATGATGAGCCAACTGGCACTATTGGAGACGGCATTGGAGTGGCAGCATAGACATGTGTTCTGAATTGCTTTGAAATGGCTCGCTTCTGATTCTAGTCATGACTTGTGCTTCTGTCAGGATTATCGGAATTTCCACCGCTGTGGAATTTTCCATAAACGGGCGAATTCTCGTGTTTGATCCTCGTACCTCTATGTTTATTGTTTTAAGTCTTGTCAATAAAGTGTTCTGAAGTTATTTCTGGGAAGGTCACCTGCCTGCTGCACGACTCCTACCGTACTCCTCCTCTGTCCCCTCGACCTATTTGTGCCACTTCTAACCAATCGATTACGCTTCACTTCAGACTCGCTTCACTTCTATTACTGCTGTGATCGGCTGTAAGTGAGTAAATAAGCGACTAACCCTCAATGTCAGCTTCATTTACCTTTGTTCCGTTCTGTTAACCCAGAGCTTACCCAAAAGCAGTAGATACTAAGGCTTTCCCCTTTGGTGCTGCATTTATCATTTCCTATTTTCTATACTGTACAGACTAATGTTATTTTCATTTCTCCTTTGTTTGGGCACACATTCCACGATAACAGGTGGGCGGAGACACATAACAATCATGGTTTCCTCATTGACGCTCTTTGCCGTAGTGGTATCATAGGGGCGCTCCAATGACAAAGGCTTAGTGGTTATGAGTTATCTGTTTCTCCGCCCTTCTGCTTATCGCGAAGTGTGCCTTTGAGTTGATCTCTCACTTCAGCTCACCAACTAGTTGCTGGTTATCGATTAGATACGCGCAAAATCAATTTCCCATGTTAAAGCTCACATTCTAATAGGGTTGGTTGAGGTGTGAGAGCAGCAGATGTGCACGTTCATGCATGAACCTCTTCTCCTGTCAGTGATTGTTGTTTCCTTTCAGCGTGTTGATCCTCGTACTTCTATCCTGTTGTTGTTGTGTCTTCATTGCCTACAAATGTTTCCGATCAGCATTCGATTCTTGCTTACCACAAAACGATCACAAACAAAACGACAGCTATCCAGGTGAGAAGAATTTTTTGCGTTTTTTTATAACTATTGGCTCTGAATTTTGAAACAGCTTTGAAAAACTTGTGATCGGTTAGAGCAGAGTCGCCTGGCGCTGTTTGGCGACGGGAGAGGGGGGGGCATTTTGCCCGTTAACGCTCTTCCCATCAGCGTTTCCGACCCATCTAGACAGCCTCTTCTCGAGTTGACAGGTTTTACCATGATGGCTTGACGAGCTTGCTCCAGCTTCACAAGTTTCACAGGTTTCACCAGAGTGAGACTTGTAAACCAGAACTAGTGAAGCAACGAAAGTGCAAAATGCCCCCCCCTTCCCTCGCAAATTGCGCCAAGTCGCTGTCCAAAGTGCGCCGAGTCGCCTCTATAGGAATAATGTAGCTGCTGTGGAACTCGGAACGATAGCACAGTGGTATGAAGCGCTAGGGTTGCGTCGGCAGCTCCTTCGTGCGACAGCGTGGGTGGAATATGCACGGCAGCCGGGTACCACTGCCCTCCAGCGCCGTTTGTGTGCACCTTCGACTGGAGAAAGTGGAACGCTATTTCAGCTCACATGGTAAGGACTGGGATCCACGTGGGCAGTCTGCCACTGAAAGACCGCCCAGTTTACGGGTGTTTACTGAAATTTTTTCCCTGAAGATAGAGTTTGTCTCACCTTCAAAGACGGCGGTCCCTTCTATGTGCTATGTGAATGGGTCAGCAGCTGCAGTAGTGTGCCACTTACGCTGCTCAAATGTGGCTAACAACGGATCTGGAGGGTGGTGATCCTCGGGTGCCGTGCCGTCTTCATATTCCTATTC